GGAGCTACGTTATTTCCCTAATTGGTTTGATTACTGTGGGATCCCAGGACCCTTTTGTCTTTGGCCTACTTCTCTCTGAGAATTGATAACTTAAGACTAGGTGGAGCTAGTCTTAAGTAGGAGCTCCTTCATCTTTTCTGTCGGAATCTTAAACCTGTGGTAGTAATGCAGGACTGTACCTGATAAAATATGGCTAAGCTCTCACTGACCCAAAATATCAAGTTCACATATTGCTTTTGCCACCCTGAGCAGCTTTCAGAGGAAGCTGCTGCTTCTGTCCCCATATCAAAGAAGGGAAAAATAAGGCAGATGGCAATTAAGCAGCTCATCCCAGCTTGTGTAGGAAGCTGGTGAGAGAGCCGGAACGAGCCCCGTAGGCCTGTCTGGTGTCTGCATTGCTAACAGGCTGAATTTGTTCAAGCTGCAGTTGCCCATTGCTATCTGGACAAACCTGGGTGCTTATCTTTCTGCTTGCTGGTTTGCATCCCTGAACTCTTCCCTTGCAGTCTTAGCAAACATTTGCCTTCCTCGGACACCATGTCATTGAAAGTAGATGTTGATGCGCTGGAGAACTCCCATGGAGCAACCTATGTTCGGAAGAAAGCTGGGAAGCTCACTGGAGACAACCAGCAGAAGGAGCAAGGGTAAAGTGGGCTGCTGTAGCTCCGGTGCAGTCATTCTTTGGGGTGGCACGAGAACCACACCTGGTGTGGTGGGGGCATTGCTGTAGAAGGCAGGCTGGTGGAAAGGCAGCCTGTCGTTTAACTGCAAGGAGGCTTCAGGTAGCAGCAGACCAAGTTTTGAGAGAGATGGGAATGGCTTAGCTTCTTCCAGAGCTAGTTTTTAGTTGGCTTGTTTGCTGTGTCCGTGCTGTGTCGCAGTGGCTGTTTCCCTTCTTGCTTTTCAGACAAGGGGATGTGAAGAAGAAGAAGAAAAAAAAGAAGGGTAAGTTGCATTTCCGAGCTGTTGACACAGCTCAGCTCAGAGAGCTTGCCAGATCGTTTCTGCAAATAGCCAGCTTTCAGTTCCCCAGGAGCTGGAGCCCTTTGCTGGGACTGGGTCCCTGTGAGCCCAGATCTTCGTGATAGCTTGTTTGGATGGGGCATTTTTCCACAGAAGTGAGAGCAACACCCTGATGGGATGATGTGGGTTGTTGGGCTCTTGGCGCTTCCTGGCTACTAACATCCCATGCATATCCCTTGGTGATGCCTCTCTAGTGTGTTGACCCCACTCTCATTTCCTGGCACTGGGTGCTCTGCAGGAAAGCTGCCCAAGAACTACGACCCCAAGGTGACTCCTGACCCTGAGCGGTGGCTTCCAATGCGAGAGCGTTCCTACTATCGTGGACGGAAGAAGGGCAAGAAGAAGGATCAGGTCGGCAAGGGGACTCAGGGTTCAACCACAGCTGGCTCCTCTGAACTGTAAGTACCCATTTTGCAGGGCTTGGTGTGGGGAATCACGCCTGGGCGGCTGGGAGGGCTGGATCTGTGCTGCTTTTCTGTGGCTCTGTCACCACGCCAGCTGTGGACAGCACACGTGAAACTGTACGTTGCCACCTGAACCTTCTACCAGCTGCTCTCCCCAAAGATCCCTGTGGGTCGCTGCAAACCAAAGTGATACAATAGGCATGCTTGAAGGTGCCAAGGTGCAAATAAAATTCATGTAGTCTTTCAATGTGCTTTTCTTAACTTTGACGATGAGATGAATTTTGCATGCTTTCTCTTGAGCTGTTTGCTTTCGAGTCTTTTGGCGGCTGGAGAACCATTAGCCGTGATTTGGGAAAACGCTGTACTTCCTTCTAAGTTGACACTGATCATTTGAGATGGAATTAGGGTTTTACCATTGTGTATGAGGCCTGATGGCAAGATGGTGACTTACTAGCGTCTGAGAGAAGGAAGTACTTCTAAAATAATAGCAATGCAGGGAACTGCCAGTGCTGTCTGATAGTTTCTCTTTACACAGCTGTCTCAAAACAGAAGCATGAAAAGCCTTTTGTGGTACTGTGGGCTTGAGCAGTGTTTGCAAGGGGAGCTGGCACAAAGACGCCTTTGTGGTTAAGGAGAGAGAAAGGATGTTGGGCTTGCACTGCCGAAGCGTGGGGGCCTGGAAGGCTTTTCATGTGTTGCATGAGCCGTCACGTGTCTATTCCAGAGTTAGCCTTGCTGTTGTTGTTGAGGACTTACGCTGTCTAGTGAACATCGGTTAAAGGTGATTGCCTGCCCTCTGAGACAGGTTCCCGTCATCCATCAGCCCTTCTATATCCGTTGAAGCTGATTTCAGATCTCCTTGCATGAGTGCCCTCCCATACATGATGCTACCTAGTGCTGTCTTACGGGGCAGCTGCTATTTTTCGCTGCCAGCTTCCTGCAGCAGCACCGCATCCTGCAGGTGGTTGGGAGCCCACGTGGTATCTCTTTCTCTCGTCTCCCCTGCAGGGACGCCAGCAGGACTGCCAGCAGCCCACCTACCTCCCCTCGGCCCGGCAGCGCTGCAGCTGTGTCGGCCACGAGTAACGTCATCCCTCCCAGGCACCAAAAACCCGCTGGTGCCCCGGCCACCAAGAAGAAACAGCAGCAGAAGAAGAAGAAAGGGGCTAAAGGAGGGTGGTAAAAAGCAGGGTGTGTAACCTCCCTCCCTCAGCAGGTGATGCTGGTTGCAGAATAAAGGTCACAAGCGAGCGCTGGCGAAAGACTCTTGGCGTCTGGATCACTGTCCTGCCTGCCAGTGCCTGGGGGGAGGTGGGCTGGTATGGGCGCCCCGATGCGTCTGCTCGCTAAATTGCCTTCCTTGCACTTGTCCCCACTCTGGCTTAGGGTGTTGCCATCAAACTCAAGTGCAGCCCCCAAGAAGAAATCTGTCCACGTTGCCAAACATTTAAAAGATGTGGAATAATCAGGAATTTCTTGAAATGTAGATTTATGCTCCTCCTGCATATGTGAGTTAAGGCCTTTAACAGATTTATCTGACAAGGTCTCTGACTACGTGTGATGCAAGCACTGTTTTCTGTGTCTCATCCCAGTCAGCCACTGATCACCACGCAGCACAGGCACAAAGAGTCTTGGAAAACAACATCTGGGGGGCTAGATTATACAGGAGAAGCTAATCTGAGGGGGGAGAAGGCGGCTCTTGGGAGAAAGCATGGTGACGTGTGTGGCAGCTGTCTCGGTGTCCCCTTTTCTGCAAGCCAGCTGCCTTACTCAGGGGGGCTTGGCAAAACAGGAGTGAGCTAAAGCAAAGTGGCTGATTGTGCCGGTGGGCTGTATTGAGGAGGCGCTGCACTTCCCAGGTGGAAGCTGGTGGTGAGATGAAAGATGCGCCTGCTCTCCTAGCACCCCACAGGCACCCCTAGGCATCTCTTGAAACTTCTGGTTTGGTCTGAATGTAGCAAAAACGTTTTTCCATACGTGAACTTTCAAGGGGTAGAAGTAGCGCCTCAGGGAGAGTTGTCAGATGTCAGCCCCAAAGGCACAGGCTTCTGTCTCTGAAAGAATTTAAAGCAAAGGCCTGAAGAGGTGGGGAGCAAGGGGAAAGTTATTGCGGCTTAACCCCCCCCCATGGAGTAAAAATCTACTAAGTAGAATCCAGTGTTTATTACCCTGACTTTGCACCGGGAGCGTCTGGAAGGGGCTGAAGGCATGTTGTGGTCTGGGTAGGAAGAAAGAACAGCACAGAGAAAACAGCTGTACGGGCGGCTGGCAGAGTCGCTTGCTGAATAGCAAGGGTTGCTCGAAGCCGGCAGCTGGTGACTACGGGAGGGAGCGCGCTCTCCTGCAGCGATGCAGTTTCTGGAGGCGATCTGGAGACGGGAGGTACTGGGGGAGGAGGCAACTCTGTTCTCCAGGCGCCTTCTCTGGGCAAGCCTGGCTGAAACGCTGACTTGCGGCGCTGCCGGAGCCCTGACCGGGCTGCCTGGGCAGCGCCCTGGCTGCTCCCCCCGGGGACGGGTGCCCAGGTAGAAGCGAGCTGGGCGCAGATCCCCTGGCGGGGGGGAGAGGGCAGCGGCGGCGGGGGGGGAAG